GTACAGCAGGCGCGCAGGAGATGCGGGACTTCATGCGCGAGCTGCACGGCGCCTGGCCGGCGCTGCCCTTCCACGACCGCCAGCGCCGGTGAGTGGGCGCCGGGCCGGCCGGCGCGTCTCCCGCGTCCTGCCTCCGCCTGTGCCCGCGCACCTCCGCCTCCGGGCCGGGGCTCGGCTCGGGCACACCTCAGCCTGCTTCGACTTCCCTTCAAGAACGGGGGGGCTCAGACTAGGTTCGCAAACCCGGAGCGTCAGAACCCCCAGCGGGGCTCGTGGAGCACGACGCTGCCCCCCGGAACTTCTGACTCAGCCGCAGGGCCGGGGCTCCGGGCATCTGCATCGTGAGGAGCCCCGAGCGGTCCTGATGCTGCAGACCCCGGGCTAGTGGGCGGGAGCCACGGGGAAGACCACCGCCCCGTGTCTGGGGCAGGCGGGGGTGACCCGGGAGGCCACCAGAACGGTGACAGGCACCCGCAGTGCCGGCGGTGGGGAAGGCGCCGGGAGGGCCTCGGGTGCCGGCCCACCTCGCGGTTTCGTTTTAACTGGCAGTGATGGAGTTTCGTAACTATACAGGCGTAAAATTTATTACTGTAAATTTCATTACTACAAACATAGGAAGAACCAGGCAGAAGTCGGAGGTGACAAAAATGTCCTCTTTGAAGGGACCTTGGCCCCTCCCTTGCTTTAGACCCTCAGCTGTGCTGGATTTCGGAGTTTGTGAATGCACTAGAAGGTCAGCTCAGTGCTCGTGGGCTCCAGGAGGGGAGCAGGAAGACTGGGGCGCTTTGGGGGAAACTATGGCAGGGCTACGCATTGTCCAGCGTCCTGGGTCTCCTTTGGCGTAAGAGTCCAAACTTAGGCTTAAATCACACTTGATAAAGCTCATTTTCCCGGCCACCCTCCTAGTAGGTGCTAGCGTGAATTTCTGGGTTTTGCTATAGAGGCTGGCCTCACATTTCTCTGGGAACTATCATTCAGTTGTGGCATTACCCCCCAAATTAATTATCTTGAGATGACATTTCTTCTGAAAAATGTAAAATGGAAGCTAACTTTGGAAAATTCCACAGAAGACTAATTAAGTGGAAGAACTCTGATTATTCGCCCAAACACATGCTTTTTGGTGATTCTGAGTGATGAGAGGGGCGGTCCAGGCAGGAAGGCTCTGCCTTTGACGTGGGTGACCTGCTGCCTGGAGGTCCCCCTCACACCAGGGTGATGAAAGTCTTATTGCTACTAAATCCAAGTGACGGTTGATTTACTTTGCAGAGATCTGTTATAGAATCACTTCAAGTGGTGTGCTTTAAAATACGATTTGACTTGCTTAGCACTCTAGTTATACGTGGCTTTTGAGAGAACACACTTTGTTTTGAAAGTGAGACGGTAACGGTGGTAGTCATTAGGCTGGAGCCCAGCTCTGGGATTTACCCTGGGGTGCCGAGGCAAGTGATTTTATTGCTCAGCATAGTGATACATCCAGTGGTTGTTGCCAGGCTGGCCTGAGACATGAAAGGGCTGTTGTCGCTGGCTGTGTGCCAGCACTCTGGTCTATTGCCCTGTATCACAGCTGTCGCTGAGGCAGAGTCCAGCTCTCCTACCTCTGGGCTGTCTTTCTGCCCTGGCTCACTTCCTCTCGGAGGAGGTGGGGGGTGAGCCTCAGTCCCTAGCGGCACATGGACTCGCAGACTTGCTCAGAAGCGTGTCACTTTTGAGGCCTTGTAAAACTCTCTTCTGTGTCCCCTGATGATCTGTCCAGAGTCTCTGAACTCCAGCTGGAGCGGATGAGCAGCTGTGGGCATGGGGTGGCCCTGCGCTCTGGCCATTTCGGCCTTCCTCCTCAGAGGGGATTTTCTTTTTGTGAATTTAGCTGTTTGTCCCTAGTCCTTTCCAGACTGAACCTCATTAACCCCGTCGCTGCCATGTATAAGTTAAGAAGTGGGATATTCTGTGGGAATTGTTGGAGATATGCCCTAAATTCTGCTTCTCCCAGCCTGGATTTGTGGGGTCACATCACGAGCAAAATGGAAATAGCCACCACCAGGAACAACTAAAACGTGTACCTAGCATTCGGGAGGCATTTTGGGAAGTTGTTAACTTGTATAGAACACAAGGCTGTGTAGCTGGTGCTATTGAGAGGTGTGGCTCAGGAACTCCACATGGTAGGTGGGTAGTGATGTGACCCCCTGCTGCCTTCCTGCAGAGGCCTAAGTGCGTCACCTGGCATCTGCCAGATTCCTGGTGCACCACCTGAGTTGAGGGAGGAGGAGAGGAAAAGTAGCTTCTGAAGATATCACTCTGTGGCGCCCTTGGGTTTACCCGTGGCATGGCTGGAGGCACCTGCAGGGAGGAGGCGTCTGGAGCTCTCACCTTGTCCTCAGAGTTGCCTGGATGTTGGCTCTCCAGTGCCCCCCACACTACACAGCACCCAGTGCCGCCTTCAGCCCAGAGAGGCAGCTATTTACTGATACCCTGAAACTAGAGATGTGGGCACTCGGCTGGAGGTGTCCATTCTCTGCCCAGGTGCAAGTGGGCTGAGAGGATTCTTAATGTAGGGACGGCGCCGGTGACAGGTGCTGACCCTCAGGGCGAGCTTTCATTCTGTCCCATCTTCCTTCCCTTCTTTACTGGGTTTATGGGCAAAACTCATTATCTGTCCAGGAATGAAGTAACAAGTTCTAAATTCACCAGCATGAGTTCCCGTCACAGGCTGCTGTTACAAGAGACACGGTCTACAATGATTTTATATGATTTTATAATGACTGTCTCATAACAACCTTCTCCCTACTTGGCTCTGGAATGTCTGCGGACCCTGAGGAGGACTGGAGGGGGCCCGTCCCTCCTCCTGCCTGCTCAAGATCTGACTGCTGACTCCCTGGCCAAGGCCGGTGCTGGAATACCTCGACTTCCAGACCGACAAGTTAAATTTGATGGAAAGAAAACTGGCCAGGACTTCATTTCTTGGGTTGAGAAGGGCTTGGGGAAAGCTTTGGGCTTAGTGGGGAAGAGTCAGTGCTCATGCCTGACTCTATCTTTCCACTGCCTGCCTCCCTCCAGCCCTGGGTTCCAGCTGCTTCCCTCCCGGGGCCTCTGGACTCGACTCATCCACTGAGTCCACTAATTCTGTGGCTCCCAGGTCCTTCTCTTTCTCATTGCTACTTCCTTCATTTGGGCGCTGGATTGTTAGAATAATCCCCTAACTGATCGCCTAGGCCTCAGTGTCCTCATCTAATTAGCTCTTGGTTCAGAGACAGATCTGGTCTGGCCACCCCTTGCTCCACCTCTCCAGGGGTTTGCTGAGTTCCTGTTGCCAACAGGATAGAGCTGGACAGTTCTTGGTACCCACAAGGCTCAGGTTGGATGGGTGGTTGGGCCAAGTGAGCAAAAGCCACAGAGAGATCTGCTTGGCAACAGTCTGCAGCTGGCTGGAGTGGAAAGAGAGGAGCCAGAAGTTTCCATGGCAACCAGAGCGTGGGTATGCCAGGAACATAGCTGGGGTAGGTGAGGGCAGAGACTAAGGCTGCAACAGTCCTGAGGACAAGGAAGAACTGGGCTCTTGGATTTTCCTGAAATGGTTCAAGTATTCCTGAGTTACCGTGACTTCCAAAGCGCCTTCTATTCTCTTTGGACACAGTTCAGCGCCCAGAGGGGGTTGAGATGACTTCAGGCGAGGAGGCTGGTTATTTGCCTCTCCTGTGAGATTCCAAGGTTACATTTCTCCCCAGCGGCTGCCGGGGTGGAGATGTGAGGGCTGGTATTGGATGTCTGAGGCTGGTATTGGATGTCAGCTGTGTGAGGCCTTGATTTAATGTTGCAAGTGATTGAAACAACAGCAACAACGGCAAGTCTGAGAGCTTAAACAATAAATGTTACAGAATGGCTTACATGAAACACCCAGCAGCCAGGCGCTTGTCTCACGGGAGGCTGGAGCCCCGAAGCATGCAGTTTCGTGCCTTTCCTTCTGCCATATCTGCTTCGTGCTCAGGCTGCAGAGTGGCTGCCTAGCATATCCAGTCTCTTTATGATGACAGAATGCCTGCTGTGTCTCAGACTGCACATCCTCACACTTTCCTCTTTTCTAGAACCCAGGCAAGTGTTCTGCAGAGCCTCACTGGTTCTGAGTCTATTAGCTACCCATTCTTGTACTGCTGAGTAGCAGACCACAGGCCTCCTACCCGTGCTGTGGAGGGCACTGTTCTCAGCCTCCCCTGTCCGCCTGCCCTCCCCTCCCTCCTCCTAGTCAGTGGAGGGGATGCAGAAAGCTCTGAGAGGCTCCAGCAGGGCCGGCAACCCTGAGCAAGCATGAACCACCAGGTTCCACCCAGGGTCAGAGGTGGGGAGACTGCATTTCTCACCAGTTGCCATGTGATTCTGATGCCGCTGGTCTGGGGACCCCATGCTGCTCCAGACGGTGCTGCTCCAAGGATGGCCTATGGACCAGCATCACCTGCGAATCTGTCAAGAATGCAGATGCTGAGTCAGACCTGGGTGTGACGCTGCTGCTGTGGGCGTCCTGACCCCTCACTACCCACCAAACACCCTCCAGGGACTACCCATGGCCTTGGGGTTGACAGAGCCCCACTGGGCCTGGCCCCAGCCAGATCATCTGCTTGCCTTTCTGAAAGGTGATGGGTGCTGTCCTGCCCCTTTATCCCACTGCCTAAAGTGCAGGCGCTGAAATAACCGGTTTGCTCAAACTGCCAAAGAGTTATATTGGGCCGCGGGTCACTTTGCTACAGTCTTTATGCAAAGAGCTGTTTGGGTTGTTTCCCGTTTCTTCATGTTTTTGGTTTTGCTTTTGGGAAAAGCTAATTTCTTAGGCATTTCCAATTTCAGGTGTTGTGCAGGATCATAAAACAGTAGAGAGGGCCATTTCCCCTGCCACGCTTTCATGCCTGCTGCCGTGGAAAAAAACCCTGCTATCCAGAGGGAAAGTGCTGTGGATGTTTTCATAACCTGCATCGCTGTTACACATATAACATGCGGTTATTTCATTTTTAAACTCATTCTTAAAAATGATTTCTTATTGGTTTCCAATTTCATTACATTATGGTCTGATTAAGAGAGCTGTACACTACTGATCATTTGAAATTTATTGACTGCTTTTGTGACCGAGAACATGATCGGTTTTGTCACTGCTTCATAGATGTTTAAAAAGAGTATTCCCTCTTTTCTGAGTGTAGGGGACTAAGTATTTTTTCCTGCGTGAGGGAAGGTTTGTCTTTGACCTGGGTGCCAGAAATCAGTAGGAAGACCAAGCGGACAGGTGAAGGGGCAGATTTGGTAATAGGAGGGTCTCAAGTGCCTTCTTCCTTCCACTTAGGCTCACAATCCTGAGGGTGACAGATCGAGGCAATCAGATTACTGTTACCGAGAGGCCCTTGCAACCTGGCGGTGGTACACAGCAGAGAGGTTTCCACTCAGCTGCCCTGTCTTGAGGGAGGTAATCCCGGTGAAGGTTGTGGGGAGAGTTGCAAAACTAAGAAGGCAGATGCTTCTTTCCCTAAATGAATACAAATAGTTTTGTAAAGAGGCCAATCACGGGGTTACAAATGGTGGGAAAATGTAGCTAAGAAATGTTCCATCCGTAATAATGTTAATCAGTGCATCATTGAATCTGTAGGGAGGACAGTCTAATAAAGCTTTGGCTTTATTTGGAACTCATGGAATTTTGAATATTACTGTTCTATATGCCTGATATTTTTCAACCTCTTGAGATGTGGACAATGATAAAAAATAATCGGGTTTATTTGTGGGTTTAGAACTGCACTGTCCAATACAGTAGCCATCGGCCACATGTGGCTCCTTAAATTTAAATTAAAAGTTAGTAAAAATGAGAAATTCAGTTCCTCAGGCACACTAGCCACGTGTGGAGGGCTCCACGGCTGTATGAGGTTGGTAGCTATGGCACTGGGTAGCACAGATACAGAACAGTCCCTTTATCTCAGACAGTTCTCTGGGACAGGACTGGCTTAGAAACTATGCTAAGGAGAAGGAAAGGAACTCACCTCTTAACAGGAGGGAGCTGGGCAGCGGGCTGGGTCAAAGCTTGGGTGGTTTCCTTGCCGTGGGCTATGCTGTCAGCCAGTCCCAGGAGCCCCTTCCCTGCAGGCGTGTGTGCGGAAGTGCTGACCCTTTGATACCCCTCTTCTCTCCCACAGCGAACTGAAGAAGAGGTACAACATCACGGCCCTCCCCAAGCTTGTGATTGTGAAACAGAACGGGGAGGTCATCACCCACAGAGGATGCAAGCAGATCCGGGAGCGGGGCCTGGCCTGCTTCCAGACCTGGGTGGAGGCGGCCGAGGTTCTCCAGAATTTCTCTGGTTGAATTGGGAGGGATCTCAGAGCCCCAGGACAACAGCTTCTCCTATGGCACAAACACCCAGGGAGAAAAAGGGAGCGTGTTTGCTTTCCTTCCTCTGCTGCAGTGATTTCATTTTCCTTCAGAGCAGAAGCTCTAAGCTGCAGCAGAGAGTGAATGTTGCTCAGGAAAACGTGCTCTCATTTTGACTCTGCAGCCTTGTTTGTAGCCATTTTTATTATTCTTTGCATAGCCTTGTCCACCTGCGCTTCAGGAAGGACCCTCATATATTTACACTGAGCTGTTGGAAATCTATGCAAAACATTAATTCGTACAGTCTCTTCATGTAAAATGATATATTTATTGTTCTGTTTTCTGGTGACCTATCTATGTTAATGGTATGCTTTCACACCTATATTTAAAGTTGGCAGACTGTGTGCTTTAATAAACAAATCTATTTCCACCCTGAGCAGCTCTGATTTCCTTCTTTCTCATTCCAAAGCAGGTGCCAGTAGGAGGAAAATGAGCCCCTTGGGAAATACCATCCTTACGCCCTTTGTTTTGTCAGAGGTGGTAGTTTTTAATTGCGTGTTCTTGGAATTTTTTTTTTTCTTTTCTCACACTTATTTTTGATAGCATTGTAATATCCTAGAAAGAAATGAAATTTTCACAGCTACACATTCACGGCTCAAAGATCAAACCTCAACATTTCCTAGAAGTTGGTAATCCATCCACGTAAGCAAAAAACCACCATCCGATTTTGCTAACAGTAAGAAGAGAGCGGTTCAACTCACCCACGCCCCCACCTGCGCCCTGGCTGGGCAGCCACGTGGGCAGCCATTCACCTTCCTTTCCAACGTCATTCTGATCTGCTCCACTGGAATTGTGAAAATACTGGATACCCAGTTCTAGCCCAGTTCCCATCTGCAAAACCAGTCGAGTTTGCTGGGTCCTAAGCTGGGGACTTGGAGCAAAGTTGTTCCCACCCACTAGGCCCCAGGAATAGTGTGTCCACACAAGGCCGTCTGGGAGCAGTGGGTGGCAGAGTCCTGAAGCCCAGTGGAGCTTCCTCCCCCACGGTGGCTTGGGCTGGGAGAGTGATCGGTCATTTACAGTATTGCTACCAGAAGGCATTTTCTTGAATATTATTGTATCCCTAACAACTTTTCTTAAAGTCAGGCAGAGTAAGACCAGCCTTCTCAGAGAACTCCAGAACTTGCTATTTCTACAAGTGCCACTCACTGTATTACAGAGCAATACTCGCTCACTGTGGAAAAACAGGAAAAAAGTCCTGTCATCCAGAGAGAAAGCACCATGGATGTTTTGGCACACCGAAGCCACCACCTTTTTTTCTATGTGAGTGTGCATTGATTGTCACCTTCACAACCTTGCCACCCGCAGTGTGGTTCTGGGCCGGCAACAGCGACATTGGGCGTGGGGCAGGGGTGTGAGAGATGCAGCCTCGCCCACCTAGACCCACGACCATCACGGTTAGGGGCCGGGTGGGCCCTGTGAGCACTCAGTCTGAGAAGCGTGGCTCTGCAACGTGGCTTGCCTACCAAATTTGTTGAAATCAATACCCTGAGCCCGTAGGTATGGCATCTTTTATCAAATCCAGGCTGCTCCCTAAGCCACAGCCCCAGTAAGTCCTGGCCTCTGGCTTCTTCAGACCACACAGACCCCAGGAAGAGTCAGCAGCCTGCACGCTGTGAAAGCTGGGCGCCGGGTGTTCGTGAGGGGCAGCCTGGAGGGAACACATGCACCACACACTACATGCCACAAACACACCACACCACACACACGCCACACAGCGCACACCACACACGCTACATACAGCACACCACACACATCACACCACACATCCCACACACATCACACATCCCCCACACCATACTCACGTTCCTTTGACGATAATGGTAACGTTTACCCCTTCCCCGGAGAGGAAGCTCAGCTCCCAGAGAAGAAAAGAGAAGGGCGAGGGAAGGTGGGAAGCCGCTCAGCGTGGCTGCAGTGCAGCTAGGCCAGCCGCGAGACCCAGTGTTGCTCCCTTTTGTGTTTGGTAAGAAGAAAGGAAAAGGCTGTTGAGTTATTGTTATTAGGGAGACCCCCAGACCGGTTATGTGGATGAAGGTCTGTCTTCTATAACTTATTCATGCTGACGAAAGGGGGCGACGAGGGGCTAATGATGTGGGGGCTTTCCTTGTCGTGGTCCTTGAGGCTGGAGGAGATGACAACGGGCGTCTCATCGTCAGAGTTTCAGTCACCCACTCACGAGTCACTGGGTGGCTGTGCGAGAGAACTGCTGTAGCAGGACAGGTCCTGCGGGTGGCAGGAGGAAGATTGTTACCGAGGGAACGAGCATGGGAACAAATGGGCAATAGCCGTGAGCCCTCAGACCACTCAGTGGGTGGAGGCTTTAGGTGTGTGACTTTCTTAAGAACATTTGGAGGGCCGGCCCGGTGGCGCACTGCTACAGTGCGCCGCTTGGGAAGCGCCGCGGCGCTCCCGCCGAGGGTTCGGATCCCACACACAGACCGGCCGCTCACTGGCTGAGCGAGGTGCGGGCGCCACACCGAGGGTTGCGATCCCGTTGCCGTCCCGGTCCGGTACGGGCGCGACACTGAGGGTTGCAATCCATTGCCGGTCATGAAAAAAGACAAAAAGGAGAATATTTGGGACATTTTCTTGGACTGTGCCAGACTGGTAAACATAGGAACGACATCTTTCTTTAAGGCACACGCATGTGCTGCCTCCTGCAGCAGTAAGCGGGTCTAGGGCCCTCCTGTTCCGCAGCACCACTGCTGCCAGTGAGTCTAGCTACCGTCGGAGGATTGTTAGGGTTTCCCCCGCAGTTTGTAATAGATCAGCTCTCTGTTGGGACAGTCTGTGTTGTAGCCGAATTGACACGCCACCTGTGATGGCCCCGGAGGTTCCTGTTAGTCCTGCTAGAACGAGGCCTAAGGGCAGAAAGGGAGCAGCTCTTTTTATGGAGTTTGCTTCGAGCCCTCATGGGAAAGCGGAGGCTTTTATTATCCTGAGCTATGGCAATGTCAGGAGTGATGTAGCCCAGTGAACACGTGCCCACCCAAACGGGAGGTAAGTGAAGGTGTCCCTGATGTCTGCAAACCCAGATAACTCCCAGTGCTGGTGGCAAGTAGGCAGCAATATTTGCTGAGATGAAACTCTGTGCTAAGGATGCGAAGCCCCTCAGATGCATGGAGGCCACTAGGAGACGGTCAGTGGAGGGTTGTGGGGCTGTGGAATTGACAACCTCTATAAGCAAAGATCCTTCTTCGAGAAAATGTAGAGCATACTGGGAATTTCGAAAGAGGGTAGGGCATGGGGCTCGGGTGTTTGGTTTAATAGAATTGTTGAGGCAGACAGGAGGCTGCCCATTGCAAAAGTGACAGTTTACAGGTTTAGTTAGATGTGGCTATGGGGCAGGGGCGTGAGGTCAGGAGGTTGATGTGCAGTTTTGGACGTGTCTTAGCGAGTGTCTACGGCTCCCCCTAGTTGTCAGTCTTCCTGAGGTGCTATGTCATCCTCGCGGAGGAATATCAAGGATGCATGTACGTTGAGCTGTGGGTGGGGATCCTCCCGGCGTCGTGGTGTTCTGTCGTATGCACAAGGGAAAGAGGACTTCTCGGTAATTGGTGAGGTGGGTGAATAAGGCTCCCTCCCTTTAAGATCATGGGTGTTAATCTAAAAGGTTTGGGGACCAAATCTTTGAGTTCTGTTAACCCTCCTGTACTTTGGAGATCCTTCACTATATCTTGAGTAGCCCTAACTCCCCATGGGTTATAGTGAACTGTGTCTTGGGTGAGATTGGCCCCAATCTGTCCCTGTTCCCACCAGGGAAGTGCCTGAATATATCCCCCGATGTCTGGGGAGACACAAAGCCAGCACGAGGAGGTAAAGCTACTGTTGGGGCTGTGTTGTTAGCAGGCACCAGGCTGAATGAATGAAGTGGGGCATTGTTAGAAAAAGTTAAAGTGGGTGCTTGGTTGAAAAAGAGCGTAACGAGGATGGTTAGTCCTCTACGTCCAGCCACTGGGTTATCTGAGTGGGTGAGAAGTCCCTGAGGTCTCCCTGTAGGTAGCAGTCCCAGAGGAAACACAGAAGTGTAGCCTCAGAGACGAGGATTTGGGGTGTGTTTGTGAGGAGAGAGAGCGTTGGATCGTGGAAACCCCCTGCAGCTGCCGCGGACATCAGCCAGGGCAGCTCACCGTTGGGCGTGCGCTGGCCGGGGTGGTCAGGCCTCTGTGCTGCTGGATTCTCTCTCCTCCGTGGGTTCCCCGGGTGTCCGTGTCAGCCCGGTGGGCGTGGGCGTGAGAAGCCCAGAAATATTTCTCAGGATGTCCTGAGAGTTTTGATTTGAAGTCTTCTTTAACCTGGAAAAATGAACCCAAGCACTTACGCCCGACTATTTTGCCGCGGTTGGGGTGGTGTTTAGTGGTAGAAGTAGTGGTATCCCAGACCTTGGGGTCAGCTCTATCAGGGGCAGGGGTTAGCGGGGAGAAGAAGCAAGTCTGGGCGTTGTAGAGTAGAAGAGGTTCAGGTGGATTTGCAGGAAAGTGTATGGATGTCTGGAACTTGGTGAGGGTGTCCCCTTTCAACATAGGAATATGGCAATGTGGAGTGGCCGTAAACTGGTGCACGAGAGGTACTTCAAAAGGAATACAAGGTAGAGGGGAGGGGACCTTTGGTTTGAATGGAATTCCTCTCACCCCTACACACAGCACACACTACATACCACACACCACTACACACTACATACAACACACACTCCACACAACACATGCACCCTCACACACACCATACTCACCACACATACACCATACCACATACCATACATCACACACTCCACACATCACCACACACAATACACACACACCATACACACTACACACACACAACACCACACATGCACACACCACACACCAAGTACCCACACCATGCACCCCACACACCACACACACACACTACGCACACCATACCACATACCGCACACACCACACCACACACACTACACACACACAACACCACACATGCACACACCACACACCAAGTACCCACACCATGCACACCACACACCACACACACACACTACGCACACCATACCACATACCGCACACACCACACCACACATGCACACACCACACCACACACACACACACACACACACACACACACACTGTGACAGAAACAGACATCCCTAGAAGAAGGAAGAGGATGGAAAACAGAGTCTTGCCATCAGGAAAATTAATGCTCTGTTGGGCTGGACTGACTTAGGCTGACTTTACAAACACAGTGACACATCGTGGAAGGTGTTTACCTTTCTTCTGCTGCCCTGCAAATCCTTATACTTGCAAATCCCCATCCTTCCACTAGGGTGTCTTATGTTAGTTTTTATCGACAAGTTTCTCAGTGTTAAATCACCTCCACTTTGTAAGCTATCCAGAGCCTTTG